AACCAAGGATGAGTAATACATGGTCCTCTAAAGAAAGATAACCCATGAACACTCAAAAGATGCCACATTTCTATAAAATGTTTTCATTTTAAAGAAAGAAGAACAATATTCCTGGAAGCCTTCAGGAATTGCAGTTCTCTAGTACATTGTTTACCAAAAGAAGTTTGTTTTAAAACTGCAAATACAAAAATAAAATTTGAGGGGGAAAAGGGAAGAGAAAAGGTGTGGGGAGGAGAATTCTGTAGACGCATGACAATTATACAAATGTATAAGTATACATTACACAAAGCTTGTATGACAAACTCACAATTCTTTCTGTGTTGATGTATCAAACAATGCCTTCAGGGAAACACATATTTCCTGTTACCAGAACATTTTTCCTTTGGGCATGAAACCCATGTTTACGTCCCAAAGGGAACAGCAAAAAAGCAAGCTAATACAATGATACCAAATGATGCAAGTTTGTATTAGGATACACACATCTTTTACTTCTTAAGGTAGCCCTTCCTTCACTAACATGCTAAATATCTCTTCTAGTTCAAGGGACAAGCAAAGGGGGCATTCAGCTTTAAGTTGTTCAGCTACTCTTGCTGTCTTGGGAGTATTAATGGTATCTTTGGGGAAACTAAAACAAGTGTTTGTAATGTATGAATGTCCATTGGAAAGCACTAAATTTGATTTCAGTGAAATCAGATTCAAATGGAATAAACAGATGGTTATACACAAGTTAATCAATGGGAAATTGTCTTTGTTTCAATATCTCAAGTTTCTCTAGATTAAAAATTGTGTTTGGCATAATAACAATGATGTTTGAAGTATATTCTTATATCTGTTTAGGAATAAATTGAAAATTTCAGCTAAATGCTAGAAATATAATGCAAATAATGCTTCCTTGTGTCACAGGATATGGTTGTGTCCCACCACAACTCCTTTTTTGGCTGGATGCATTGCAGTGTATGATGTTTATATTAGAAAAATTATTCATGTGCATGCTTCCATACCTCTATATGTAGAACCCATATAAAAATATTTTGCAGAATTTTATGAAAAATGTATGGAATGCCTACTAAATTTCTATGACCTGAACTATATATAGCTAACAGGCAGAGTGTGTTTCTTAGTCTAAAAAAAAGACTAGTATTATAAGACTGGAAAGATGAATACTTCTGCTTTCAAAAAGACTTTAAATTTATTTAAAGAAAGAGTTCAGTAGAGTTGCTGCAGCCACTGTCTCTCCTAGGCCTAAAGCAGTGGGTGATGTTGGCTCTTAGTTCCTGTTTCCTTCCAGCCAGCAAAAATCCTTTCAGGATAAATCTAGCATCTCTTCTCATGTTGTTACATCAGGGCTGTGTGGAAGAAGCTTCTGTGACACATACATTAGGATCAAGATCAGAATAACTGTATTAGTTCATAGACTAAATTCCTAAGGCTTCTAAAACAGACAATCAGCGCCAGCAAACACCTCTTCTCTTCAGCCCTCTTCTCAATGATTTTTGTTTTCCTAGACCATTCTTTGCAAATTTGAAATTAAGGAAGAGTTTCCAAATCCACTGTTGTCCCTGTTTTGTAATAAATGCTTCAGGAAGTCAATACATTAAATGAGTGCCATGGGAAATAAAAGAGCAAGCCCTTTTTTAAAAGCAAATTTCTAAACTTTGTGAAGCTGTAAAAATGACATGGATTGCTGCCTTGTGGTGGCGAAGGGGCAAATTTCTAAACTTTGTGAAGTTGTAAAAATGACAAAATTAAAAATAAATGATAAAATATTGCAGGATGCATCTGTTTGCATTTGGCACTTCTGTAGTGGCCCCTGAATATAACATCTTGTAATATTTTGTCATTTATTTTAATTTTGTCCACATTTTGTTGTCTTAGGTAGCAGAAAGAGAACATTTGTAGAAGTTAAAAAAGACATCCCAGGGTTCTGTATTATAACAAATGCAATGATATTCACATTCACAAATACAATGATTTTCTTCCAAAATGAAGAGGAAGCATTGAATATGACAGACCATTTAAATTAATTTACATCACAATTCTATAGTATCCACTTTGAAGAAAGTACTGGCTACATCCATGGATTTACTACCTTTGAAATGAGTTTTCAACTGACTGCACAGCATCTAGTTTCCTTCAAAAGAAAAAAAATCAACAATTCTTGAAGGAAAAAAGCCACCTGTGTCCTTCATTAATTTCTTTGTATATTTGTTTTGTCAACTTTATTTGTGTGTGTGTTTGGCTGAGTCTGTGGGATATAATCTAAATTAAATATAGGAAAGGTCAAAAACTTGCTTTCAAACTTTTCTGTGAGTACAATTAGCTTAATATTTTAACAGCTGGCAGCTGCAGTAATTACTTTTAGATTATACATGGAAATCTGTTGAAATATAGCATAATTACTCTGATCTATGAACTAGGTAATTAAGGTAAAAACTCCTACATTTTCTTAGACCCCATTAACTTATTTCCTTTGAAAATTGCTAGATAATGGCAGTACATTAGAAGCTTATCCATAAAATGACACTGAATGATTGGAACATTACAGGGAGGAAATACAGTACTTCTTTAGTATTCTATGTCCTGCTTCATGAGTGTCTTGAAGTCTCAGTGCATAACATCATCATGTAGTTTGTATTTTTTTAAAGAAGGGGACATGTCAGACCAGAACTATAGTATGAAAGAATGATGAATGCCTTGTCCCCTCTCTTAACTTGTTGTTAAACATTTGACATAAGGAAAAAGTTGTGTCCTTAGTATCAGCATTTTCACTGAAACCAATCAGCTGTCACCTCACAACCTTGCTCGGAATATGGTTGAAAGATGTTAAGACGAATCAATTAATTCATTCCAAAAGACGATAGAATCACCCAAGGAATATTTGAGTAGTTCTTACCCAGATGTTATTTTCTTGAGGAAAATGTTTCGTCTTCTGTATATGAAGCTGTAAGACATTCTTGTACCAACGGTGGCTTTACCTGAGAGTTAAAAGAAAAATTACAGAGTACCTGCTCTACAATTCTTCCTAGGGTATAATCAAGAGATGGGCAAAGCATGAGCTTCCTGGTGCTATTGGGACCACGATTCCTAGCAGTCCTTAGCATTGGCTCTACCAGTGAAGGCTGATGGGAATTTCAGTCTAACAAAATCTGGAGATTTATTCACGAAGGCTTTCACGGCCAGGATCTAATGGTTGTTGTGGGTTTTTCAGGCTCTTTGGCCGTGTTTAAATATATACAGAGTTCCTACTCCAGTCCTCTGAAGATGCCGGCCACAGAGATTGGCGAAACGTCAGGAAGAACAACCTTCAGAACATGGCCAAAGAGCCTGAAAAACCCACAACAACCATAATCTGGAGAGCTGTTCTTTGCCATCTAGAATGAAATAGCAAAGGATTCCCTTCTCTGCTTTTGGCTGGCACTTCCAACAGGACTCAGCTGTTTCCTGGCAGCACTAGTCATAAGTGCTTTGGTCTTCCTTCCACTTCCTTTCCTGCCAAAAGCACCTTCTGAATTTCTGTCTATCATGCACCGAAGAAAACATGGAGGTGTTACTACAGGTTTGAATACATTATTGTGGAAACTAAGGAGCATCACATTCTGGTGGAAGAATAATTTGTGTCTCTGTTACAACACCCAAAAGAAAAAGGTTCCACAGAACTGGAGTGAAGTTGATCCTCTTTGAAGCAGCTTTGTTGTTCATGGAACTATTGGTTTTTTTTAATTGTTTATGGACTATAACCCACTCTAGATGTCATGTTTTAGATTGAAGTGTGGGCTCTAAATAATAAAGTTCTCACCAGTAATGCGTATCAAAATAGTCTAATTCTTCCAACAAGATAGCAACATTTTTTTGGGGGGGGGAAATACACCATTGATGCCTTGACATGTTTCCATACTGCCTTCTCTCCTCTGGGACATTGCAAGGAGCCCATCATGTGACGTATGAAGGACTTGTTTTATGGGTTTGGCATTATACCCTAGCATTTCAGGGTGAGATATACCCTGAAATGCTAGGGTATAATGCCATGTACCCTAGCATTATAATCACAATCTCATATTTCTCATACCTAGTATAATCACAATCCCATATCTCTCATACCTAGTAGATATATATATTTACTAGTTCTGTGAAGAAAAGGTCTGTGTTGGATGGCTGGAGCTATCTTGTAAAGCAGTACTAAGCAAAACCACAAGATGGTGCTCTGTAACTCTTTTTGCAGCTATTTTGTTTTTGTTGTAAGAGCAATCATGTTATACTTTTAAGAAATCATCAGTAGTGTAGCTATTGGTGCAATTGCGTAATATACACAATTTTTCTAAAATGTTAAAATACAATTCTATTCTTCAAAATTTGTGTGTTTGTGGGTATGTGATATTCTTCTCTATTTTATTTTCATTATTATAACTGATAGTATTTCAGTATGCATTTTGATTAAATGCATCATGCACTAATGTGTTATAGTGAAGATGCATTGAGATACTATTTGACCTGCTACTCTGGAAGCCTGAGACCTCTTCTAGACAACAGCCTGTCTATTTTATAAAGTTTGACCTTGAAGAGGAGTACCTGCACACATTCCTTTGGTCCTCAAAAATGTGAAATGTATATGATGTGGCCCTCACACTCAAAAGTTTGGAGACCCCTGCTTTAGGATTTAGCACCTTTATTTCATTGTGAGATTACATGGATTTACAATCCACTTCAGATACACAATATTTCTTTGAAAACATCTACAGGTCTTTTTTTTTAAAAAAAGTAAAACAAAACACTCATGCTGGTGCTCTTATATTCATGCCCATATCATCATTATCATCATGATCACCATCATTGTCATAATGTGCCATCAGACACCTAAACCGTTCAGGTACCCAGCATATCAAAAAAATTATTCTGTCCTTGACAGTTGAGTGAGCCAGATTTGCCATCATCATAATGTACCGTCAGACACCTAAACCATTCAGCTATCCAGCATATCTAAAAATTATTGTGTCCTTGACAGTTGAGTGAGCCAGATTTGGCCAGAGTTTCTATAATTCTGGGAATTGTTGACAAGGTTAGTGTCTTATAACAAGGTTAATTTTGAGGGTTCTCATTTTTGTATCCTTTATTAATGTGGACTGCTCCAGCTGCTTCCATTATTAAGCTTTTGAAATGAAGTGCGGCTGGCGGTTGGTATTGTCCCGATGAGCACCTACGTTTCTTAATTTACTACTCCACTAGACTGCAGTATTAATCCAGTGCAGATGGGGGATCAATAGAAAAGATAAGTTTTCCAAACAATATTGAAGCAGTATTGGCATTATACAATATAGGCAGTATACAATCATTGGTATTTGACCTGTGGGACAATAAGTAAAGTCATTGCTTTTAAGCAGATAGAATTCGGATTTTCCAAAAACTAGTGGTGACGTTTTTTGGGACTTTTAACACAAAAACGTCTGGAGACTCAAAGGTTGGAAACCATGGCTCTATATTACGCTTTCAAGCAGGTGGCGGCCAATTTTTCTTGCTTCTTCAGATGACATGGCTTTTCTCCACAACAGGAGCAAAATTCCCCCTGCAAAATAAGCAGTGCATTTATTCATTTAATTGTCAATTTGTCATTCCTTTTTCAATTCAAATAAATCCTAATGGGTCAAGTCAAATTTTAAAGCCAAGAAACTTTCTAGGAATCAGATCAATAGTTCACTACTATCAGTCGTTCACTCTACAAGGTTTTTTTAAAAAGAACAATACATTTTACACATGATATATTAATCTTAAGCGCACACACAAAACCCACACCTATTTAAGAAGAAATGTATCAACAGTATTATGGGATGAAAATTGGTTCTTGCTGATTAAAGTAAAAGAAAAAATATTCAGAAAGCCCCCCCCCATCCTGTCTAGAAGTTGGGTAAGCAATTTTGCCGTGTTTTGGGTCCCACCACCATCCCTGGGGGCTCACACTCCTGATTTAAAAAAATATTTTTAAAAGATTTTTGGCAGACCACTAAGGGTTCCAAGGGAATTTTTTAAACTCAAAAAAGAAGCACCCTTATTTTTTTCCAAAGGTGCATGTTTTAGGGAGGTCGTATAGGAGTGGATGTGGCCTCTGGATCTTTGAAGGTTCCTCACGCTTTGACAATTTGCTTGCTTAAAACACTGACCCATTTTCTCATTACTCTTTCGAAGAGCCCGAAGAAGAAACAACACTTTATTCTGCGTAGGTGTAAAGTCAGCAATAAGAGGTTCTTTGTCTCCTTCCAAAAGCAGTCGAGGTGGTAACCCTGTCTGGAACTGGTTTGTAGTGTTCTGGTTCGTAGAAAAATGAGTGGCCGCAATGAAGTCAACTGCAGCTGACCAATCCTTAGCAAAAGCACTTTCTGGACTGTTGAGATATGATAATCTAAAATTGGGGAGAAGGGAAGAATGACAGAAAATCAGGTCATACTTTAATTCATTCAGTATTCATCCTGCTGCCAAGAGGAGAAATGCTTTCTAACCTACAGGTTCTCAGAACGATATTTAATCACACATGAATGCTAGCTGCATCACTCTTTGGTACTGTGGTATATTATTTATTTATTTATCAGAAAGAAAAATCAAATATATGTGGACCAAGGTGAATCCAAGACATTTTGTTGTGAAAGGCTGAACAGGATTGCTAGCTGACTCCTGCTTGAACCCTGGCAATGCACAATGTCCACCATTGCAAGAAGCTAGTGTAGAGGTCCAGGACAGGCTGTGTGGCATACACAATTTTGTCACCTGGATAAAGAAATGGGGAGTCCAAGAGGAAGCGCCAGGAGCCAGCAATCACTGCCAACCCTTCCCCTCAGTTGTGCCCTGAAGTGAAAGTGTCACTGTTATGAATGCACGTGGTAAGAAAAAGTCTTTAGTGTTTGGATGGTTTTACCTTACCGGTTCTGAAACTTTGGAAGGGCAAAGGCAATGGATTGGACATGAGCTTTCCACATATAGTTCAGGGCCTCTTCTTGTGAGAAGAAAAGGGTTGCAGATGATTCAGAATTTGGTTCAGTGGATAAAAGATACTGAAACAAGGAAACACGGATATCTGTTAGTAGGGATGGGATTTGGGGGTTAACCTGAAAGGGGAAAACACAAAAGAACCCCTTTTATTCTTTCTTGGAGTCTCCCATGACTTTACAATAGATGGCTTCCAAAATATGACAGGTTTGGGATACTAAAAGAGAGGTTCAGGAAACTTACAGATTTCTTTTATATAATTTGTAATTTGCATTACCCTCTTTTTTTTTTTTGCCTTTTATTTTATTGACCTTTTTTGTGGGGGACAGATTTTCCCCTGTAGTGCCTTTCTTCCTGTCCTTCACCTAGGTGACTGCTTCCAGTATTGTTGGGCCATAGCTATCAAAGAGTTGGGAGGGCTGTCACTCCAATCCTTTATTATTGGTGGGAATTGAGATTTGAGGGAGTTAACTAAATTGTTTTCAGTGATTTTTGTGTGCTTTATTTTGATTATAATCATAATGATGATTTTTCTTTCTCATATGTACTACTTCCTCCTGATGAATTGATGAGGATGGTGATATGATGGTAAATGCAAGCTTTAAATTGCTGTTAACACCTGCATAGGTCAGTGGATGATTGATTTTTTTCCTTCTCATATACAGTTATTGTTGCTCACTCTTGCAATGGGTGATGGTTTGTTACTAGATATGGACACGAAACAGAAGAATGGTGATTCATTTTGATTCATGATTGATCAAAGTCGATGACTCACAAATTACAAATTAATATTTTTTCTGATGAATTGATGAAATGATTTGTCATTTTTAAATTGAAAACCCTATAAAGCCCCCCACTGAACCTAGAGAAACCAAATTTGCATAGAAGCTCCCCTTGACTCTCCTCTACAAGCCCTGCAAGATTGGTGGACTTTGGATTTTGGATGTCCTAGTAATACATCCAAAAGGGACGTGGTGGCGCTGCGGGCTAAACTGCAGAGGCTTGTGCTGCAGGGTCAGAAGACCAAGCAGTCGTAAGATCGAATCCACGCGACGGAGGGAGCTCCCGTCGCTTGTCCCAGCTCCCGCCAACCTAGCGGTTCGACAGCATGCAAATGCAAGTAGATAGATAGGGACCACCTCGGTGGGAAGGTAACAGCGTTCTGTGTCTAAGTCGCACTGGCCATGTGACCACAGAAGATTGTCTTTGGACAAACGCTGGCTCTATGGCTTGGAAACGGGGATGAGCACCGCCCCCTAGAGTCGAACACGACTGGACAAAAATTGTCAAGGGGAACCTTTACCTTTACCTTTAGTAATACATCCACAAGTAGGTCCTCCCAGGAAAGTTCCACCAGGCACCTAGAGACACCAAAATTACAGAGAAGCTTCCTTGGACTCTTCTCTATGATCTCTCCAAGTTTGGTGAATATTGGGTTTCAGATATCCACAAAGTGGGTCCCACCAGTAAATTGTCCTTTAGCGGCTGGTTTGGGGAATCTCAATCTTGACCAAATTTGGAGGGATTGTAGAGGAGAGTCAGAGGAAGCTTCCCTGCAATTTTGGTGTCTCTAGGAGCCTTGGGGACTGTTTTATGTCCAAAGAAATCAGCAAATAAAAAAATCACTAAAAGTTCATTGAGTTGTGATTCATCCAGCTTATGTGTAGGAAAAACAAAAATAGTACCTTGAAGAAATTGCTCCAGCTAGCCATAACTCTGGGGGCTTGAATCTTGCATTCGGTAGTGCTGTGGCAAAAGTCAGCTTGCTGCTCAACTGATGGTACCATTTCTACCTCATATGGCAGCTCTCCAAAGAAGCCACTGTCCAGGGCTCCCAGAAAGGGAATAACGGCTAGGTAGTAGTTCATACCTGGAATAAGGAGCAGTAGCAAAGCTGGTTTAGTTGAAATGTCTGTTTTGACAGTAAGGAAAGTCATGTTTATATGCAATCTGATTCTTTTCCTTTTGGTTGAAGTAACTCCCAATTTGTTTGAGTCTAACTATGGACTGTTGAAGCATATCTTCACAGTCATCATCAAAACCAGAAGCTTCTTGCAATTTCTTAAAAGATACAGACGAATCTAAGACATCACACAGTAATTGGATAGGATGGTACATACCTTCACTGTATGATGATTATAGTCCTCGACAACAACAACAAAAATGTAGTTTGGCCATTTTGAGACTGCAATACATGAAAGCTCATGCTGAAATAACTATATCTTGAATGTGTGGAGAGTCTTTCGCTGGTTAAACACTAAAAGCTCCATGCCCAGATGGACATATTTGCCCATTGCTGTTTCTCACACATTTACATTCTTATATTATACATTCTGAGTAGTACGTCTGGCATCCTGTAGAGCTTCCACTGAGTGGAAGGTTGTCAGTGTGCTAAGACAGAATCAGGCTGTTCACTCAAGTGGTACAAGCAGGAGTGGGAGGGCCTTCCTCGTAATCACCACTTATACAGTGTTGTCATGTGCACAAACAGCATGATCCTACATCACTACACTGCTGGGACTTTCCCCTCTTCAGAAACTCAAAAGGATACTAATCTAAGAAATGTGTGAGTCTGAAAAAAATTCTCACCAAAAAAATGAACTGAAACAAAGTTCTTTTCTATCCCTACATCTGGAAGATGGCCCAGTGAACCATAGAAAATTGCAGCCATGGTGGTAGGGTCTCTGCAAAGCTGGCTGTGAAATCTTGGAGCACAAGTCTTTCTCTGAACTGACGGTGACCTTTTAGCAGTCATGAACTGCATTAATTCACAGCTTATTAATAGAAGATGAAAGAATTTGTAATCATGGATCAAAGCAGATTGTCTTCCCAGGAGGACTTCCTTAAGGGCAGCTTTACAGATGGACTCAAGAATATTGTTTTATAACTATTCCATCAACCAATGGCATTCCATAGCTGCAGACATTTGTGATAGCTGTTCTTTGAGTCTGTTCCCAGCAAGTTGGAGAAAGGGAAGCTGTTGAGACCTGACATGGTTTGATAGTAATGAAGGACCACTCTCTTGCACCATGTTAGTGCACAACAAATCCTACCTGAAACCTTATTCATGTTTTTTTTTACTTTAAAAAAAGGACACAGAAACAAACAGGAAGTCTGCATCCTTATTCTTTTGTTGTGAAATGTGGAGTATGATAGATGTCTTCTCAGCTAAATCTGGAAATAATGAAATGACTGAGAAATCTGATGGGGCAACAAATGCTAAATTGTTCTGGAGACCACACAATGTTTCATGAAAAAGGATGTATACTTACAAGCCCACCAGCTGTATACAGATACACAGAGATCGTCTCCATCCTTATGGCCACACACTGTGTCACTAATGGGATCTGCTAATCTGCCTGGAAGATAATCAAACAGAGTATTGCATACAGTTTTCTTTCTACATGTGGCTGAGAGTTTTCCCACTTGACACAGAAGAGAGAAGGAAAACTGTTCTTTGTTTAGGAAGTGTTTGATCTTGACCACTAAAGGAATAGCATATGTTTCTGTTGTTCTCTTTTATTTTCATCCATGCTTTCTCAGAAGTAATTCCTATTCAGTTCAACCAGATTCACTCCCCATAAATATGCATAGGACTGACACATCACCACACTTTGTTGCTACATGTCTACCCAGGAATACATGTCACTGAGTTCAGTGGCAATCCCTTCTAGGTAAGTGGATGGAGGATTGCAGCCTAAGTTACTGGAGCGTCACCTAGTGTTATACAAATACAAATCAGTCTGTATAATAATAAACATGTTTATCCAAGACATTGACACTAATATGTTAGAGGTAACCACTCTTTTTGAAGACAAAAACATTTTCTTTGAAGACAAAAAAATTAGATTTAACTTTCTTTTGATCTCCAAAGGGGTCCAAGCCAGAGAGAGGAAAGATGTAAATTGATTATTTGATGCCTCTGTCTCATGGGGATTCTGCAGCATTCCACCTTGTTGGCATTCTGCTTTTAAGAGCCATGGGCACCATCCAATCTGGTCTGGGTTATGAACTGTTTATTTATTTAAAATATTATTACCTCACTTTTCTCCTTAAAAAAGGATCCAAGCGGCTTACATAATTAAAAATACAATATTACAACGTAGAACAGTATACTATTCACGTATTAAAGAAGAATTAATGACATTATATTAAAAATGTTTAGTAAAAACATTACTAAAAGATATAGAAGCAACAAAATAGAAAACATCCATTTTATTTTCTCCTAGATAGTCAGTCACTAAGGAATACCCTTCCTGAAGAGAAAGGTCCTCTCTTGCTTGCAGATGGACAGTAAAGATGAACTATCCTGTCTTCTTGTGGGAGAGAATTCCAGAGTCTTGCTTCATGTCCGTTTTTTAAAACCATTTTTGCCCCACCATGAGAGCTTGCATCCTTACATTATTTGTAACTTTTTAGCAACACAATAAAGGTATTACCCCTCTCAGAACTTTTTTCTTCCTATGAATTGGCTACATGTTCTATAAAGCTAAGGGAACACATAAAACCACCAAAACAACTTTCTTTGGATCATAATAGAGGTTATGCAGGAGAACATACAACAATAACACTATTTGTAAATGTGATTTCCCCCCCAAAAAAAGCATGGTTGCAAAGACAATGCTGGGTATGAAAATTGCCTGGAAAATCCACTAGACAAGAAAAGATGAAGTAGCTCCCCCATTATTCTCCCTGCAGCAACTGTTTTGCAGGCTCACACATGTACAGTAGAAGACTCTCATATATGCCACCATTGAAATGTTTTGCCAATTAATAGAATATTCTCCTGGCCTAGGTTGAAATGTATCTCTCACTAACAGCTTCAAATTTCCCAGAAACTGATATTACTCCATCTAACTTGCCAGACAGGAAAATAAGGGTCATCTGCTGAATTATGTTCTCTAATCATGTGAAAAGTCAATACTTTCCCTTCTGTGTGTGTGTGAGAGAGAGAGGGAGGGAGGGAGGGAGAGTGCAGATGCCTTAGGATGACTTTGGACAACTCCAGTTTTAATAGAAACAACAGTGAGGATGTGTGATTCTGATAAAGCATTTAACATAAATTGACTTAATGTTTAAAGGTTAGACTACAAGGAAATTGTTTGTACCTGTTCTGTATTGCCAGCCATGCTGCAAGGGCAATCCCCAAAGGATGTTCCCACCGTTTTTAGGTCCAAGTCCAGCAAAATATTTAGCTGAGAAGTTCAGCAATATTTTATACAATCCCAGTCTCTCCCTATAGTTCCAGGGATTGATGACAATGGTGTTGCCTTTTCTCAGGTAATCTTCTAAGGTTTGAGGTGCAGATTCCCACAGTGGAGGGAAAGCATATGGAAACCTTCGGGTTCTTGAGTTTGCTTTTCCTCATGGAGCAGACTGAGAGCAGATGATGTTAGCAGGCAGACGGCAAGATGGAAAATGTATCCCATGTTGGCAGTCCTGTTTTAGGACTTTACAGACTGTAGAAGCTTGTAAAGCTATAAGAAGCAAAGACCAGCTGGAATAAGACACATACATCTCATACAGTATAAATCCAATTGTCCCCACCCACTTGTTCTGTGTGTGTGGTGTTTTGTGTTGTTTTTTTTAACAACACTAGCAAGGCTATTCTACAAACACTGTCACATGGAACTTACATCTCCTTGTTGTTTTAGAAATCTGATTTGCACAATCAACAGGATGGTGCTTTTATTGTGCAATTGTGCTGCTTCATTCCCAGAATGTTATGAGTAATTTGTACAGTGGCTTTAGGTCAATTAAGCATAAAGGTATGAGAGTCTGCTTCAAAGAAGGGTATGTCAGTGGAGAAAAATTAAAGATCTTGGTGACTTATTTGATTGACATGGCATCTTGTCAATCATGGGCAGTTGAAATTGTTTTTGCTATTTCATCGGTACCAGTTTGGGCAGTGCAATGTCTATGTAAAGAAACCACTTACGCAACATGTTATGGACTACATGACACTGTATGACAGGACAGATGGTCATTAGGTGTAAATGTTAGTGCCAGATACCAGGATGATTTCCAGTAGGTCAGCAAGGATTTCTGACTTTCAGTTTATGCTGGAACGTTCAGTGGTTTAGGTATCTGGTTGCCGAGACAGAGGTTGTGAGTCTGACTCCCTGCTGTGCTTCCTTGACACAGTCTTGACTCGATGATCCATAAGGTCCTTTCCAACCCTGATGGTCTAAAAATGATTACGTATAACAGTGGCAGCACTGAATAGACATTGTCCTCCCTTCACCCTAGATTATACTGTTGCCAAAATAAAGAGCCCTTGGGATTACTAGGTGTGGAGTTTAATGTGGAAGGAGAGTGAGGCTGCAGTCAGACTAGAGAAATGCCCCTCTTCTTTCTTGTGTCTTCTGCTTCCTCTATAGTTGCATGTTGTGGTCATGTGGCATCTATCCTGTGATAGTGGTTCATACGTTTTTTAACCATTCCACCTTTTTTGGGTGAATTAGATGTGGTTATGTTCATCAACACCTCAACACCTCTCAAGTGGGACATTTCCCCTTCCTTTTCTTTTGCCTTTCACTGTTCCCCCCACCCCACCTTTTTTTTAAAAAAATGTGTGGTACATTGCTGTATTGGCAAAATGGTTGTTCAACTAGATAGGCGGGGTATAAATAAATAGATAGATACATAGACAGACAGAGAGACAGAGAGACAGAGAGACAGAGAGACAGAGAGACAGATAGATAGATAGATAGATAGATAGATAGATAGATAGATAGATAGATAGATAGATAGATAGATAGATAGATAGATAGATAGATAGATAGATAGATAGATAGATAGATAGATAGATAGATAGATAGATCATGAAACACATCATCTGAATTTTTATGACTGCCTGGCATGCATGGGACTGTGACAGCTGAAAGAGAATTGACTTTTGGTTGAATGTTATCTTTGTTTGTATTTGCCAAGGCTTTCACGGCCGGGATCTAATGGCTGTTGTGGGTTTTTCAGGCTCTTTTGCCGTGATCTGAAGGTTGTTCTTCCTAACTTCAGAGGAGTGCTGTCCTCTGAAGATCTGTCCTCTGAAGATGCCGGCCACAGAGATTGGCGAAACATTAGGAAGAACAACCTTCAGAACATGGCCAAAGAGCCCGAAAAACCCACAACAACCATTATCTTTATTTATCTCTCTCTTTTTTTATCAAAGTGACCAAAGATATGGTATCCCTGAGTTAGGAAGTTGGCATGCTGCTCTCCTGAGGTACATTAAGGTAGCTGGCAGAGGACTGACTATTGTCAACCTCTGGCAGCAGGATGTGTTTTGTTCTGGAGGGTGATCATCAAGGCAGGTTAAGAGCTATTTAGAAAATAGTCCATCAACTGTATAAAGGGAATTTGATAAAGTGTTTTATTTTTCATCCCTTGTTTTTCGGAAGGGTGATTCCAGGCAAGGCTTCCCCCTCACTTACATGTGAGGAGAACTGTGCAAACCTATGAAAGTATGCCAGGTTTTAGTCTCACCAAGGAAACCCAAGATTTCCCATCTCTCTGCTAAGGTACAGCCAGATAGGTTAGTTCCAGCTTTTCTCATTTTATGGCATTGCTGTTTATATTCTGTATTCCTGTACCTACAGTTGTTCTGGATCTGAACCTTTTACCTCCCCTCCCCCAATACATTTGCCTCTCATTTTTGTAGTATCTGAATTGGTGTTAGTGAAATCAATGGTGGTGGAGCTGGTGGTGAAGTTTTAAGTGGTAACCTGTGGAGCATGCAGCCTAAACAGGCAGAAAATTTGTTGGGGGATAACTGGATTCCACCCAGAGCTCATAGCCTCATTCCTCCTGTTCCCAATGGGTGCTCCCAGCAAGAACCAAAGGACTAGTAGCATGACAGAGTGGTTATAAGAAAGAGCCTAGGTGACAGGATCCTTAACAGTGCACATACACACTTGGTGGACATTCATAAGGGATGTGCATGGAGAATTTCTTAATTATTTCTTTCATTTTAGCTTCTTTTCATGGAGGTGCCTCTTTTGCTTCCACAATACAATTGCCCTGGAATACAAAAATTCATTTTACAAAAAGGGAAGCCTCTTCTGTGTTCTTTCCTTTTGGGTTAACCATTAATGTTTTGTCACTTCAGAAAACAACCAACCAACCAATTAATCAATCAATCAATCTTAAAACTGCTCAAAAGAGCAGGGCCAATGCAACAGATAATCAGTCTACTTCAAAAGCAGGTCACAATATATGAAAAAGAAAAATTATCAGTCTTCCTAACAAAATATACAGCTTCAACAGAATATATACACACTAAAATAATCAACTGATAACTTAAAAAATCAAACGAGAAAAGTATCATCACATGGGAAAACATCGCAAAATTGAGGGGAAA